AAGCGGTTTGGGACTACTTGCTAGCAAGTAGTTCGAAGCGGTTTCAAACGGTTTCGATCTATTTGTAAGCACGTGTTTTTGGTCTTAATTTCCAGCATTTCTGGGAACTACTTGAAACCATTTGAAACTACTCTGAAACCACTTCACCTCCTGGGATGGGGTGCCTTAAAGCATGCTTACAAGTAGCTCGAAACGGTTTGAAACGGTTTGGGACTATTTGCTAGCAAGTAGTTCGAAGCGGTTTCAAACGGTTTCGGACTACTTACTACTACTGGCTAGGAAGTAGTTCGAAGCGGTTTCGGACTACTTGCTAGGAAGTAGTTCGAAGCGGTTTGAAGCGGTTTCTGGGTCAGTGATGGTGGAAAACTACCAAGATTATTATTATACTGACTATATACTATAGACTCTATAGACTCTAGACTAGACTATACTATACTTTATTACTTGTCACAATGTCACATGTCAGTTTATATCCTGACTCTTACTCTCTCATTCTTTGTTAAGTTGTTAAGATACTATTCGGAAGTGGGAGAATCGGGAGAATTACTAAACTTAACTGGGGTGAAGTTGCAGCCGGGCCAGTCATGTAGTCGAGTCATGTCATGTAGTTTTAAAGTCGGTCAGTCAATTTAAAATTCACCTGATCAAACAAGCAATCTAAGAGCCTTGACTTCGACTGCCGACCTAACTTCAAATGTCCAGTAACAAGTGCGTTTGTCAGTTCGTCTGTAAGTATGTATGGGCCAAAGAGCCTGGAGGCTCGCATAGTGAACGTCCAGGCAGGCGCGTTCTCGTTTGTTCAGCTTGCCCGCAACCATCAGCCGGGAGTCACAATAGGCCGAAACAGGGCCATACGGGGTTATCCAAAGATTCTTCTTGAAGGACTTGACCAGGAGGGCGGTGCTTTTCGATGACCTCCCGTCCTGCCAGCACAGTGCTTCTGACAAAAGCTTTGACATTGGGCCGGTGAGCCAAAAGTCTGGAAAACGGGAAACAACTTTGGAAACCGCTTCTGATGCGACGCTTCCATTCTAAACTAACAAAACAGCTTTGGCTCCATTATGCCATTGGCAGTCTAGAAAATAGAAATAGTTTCTGCAACATTTAGAAACCGCTTCCTGACTAAACTGCTTTGTGGAACTCCACCCCTTCCGCAGGTCTCTTCAAAACTGGCTACCGCTACCGCCCCGAACACCAGACAGAAAACTCCGTAAATTCGCGGAACTGGGGAGCGGATTGGTGCGAGGTCCTTGGAGGTGGTCGGCAGAGTCGGGCTCCGTCCCATGACCTCAATGGCATGCCGATTGTGCGTCATGATCTCCTTGATGGTCGGCCTGCGGCTGGCGTCCTTTAAAGACTTTGACAGGACTGTCCCGGCAATCTACCCTAGATTGGCAGCTGTGCTCTCTGGACACACGTCTTTCCTGCTCAGCACAATGTACAACCGCTTCCTCGTTTGAGGGATTTGATATTGCGATGTCCTCAATCCGGCAAAGAACACGGCAAACGTTTAAAGTTTCAAGGTGACTCATGTGACAATTCACGATCCCTCATGAGCATGACTCACTCATGACAACTCATGACTCATTCTCTGATTCTGATGAGTGTCACACTGACTGTGACCCTGACTCTGACTAAAATGCCAAGGGTCTCCAGAACCATAGTTGTCAGCCAATAGTCCGGGATGTGTGCCAGCCCAACTGTTTCACCAGTGTCTTCATCGCATCCGTGCAGCATGTAGTCCAAAGGGCACTGAGCAGGCGGAGGCGATGCGGGGCATCCACGGTGTACGCATTAAGCAGACTATGGAATTCCTGGAGTCCTATGGATAATATCGAAACATATCATATCACATATCTCATCTCAGCCAATGAACGAATGACAACTCATTGTTCATTATATAATATAATATAATATTATCTTCAGAAACTTTATATAACCATCCGGATCCCGATCCCGATCCCTGTCCAACCTGCATAGAGACGTCAGTCTGTGTCTACGTTCACCCTTTCAATCAAACCCACACTTGGTTGCTTCAAACCAATGTGAATTGCTTGAGATAAACAGTCTCACAGCGTGACTATGGCTAGTAACACCCTACAGTCCTATGGTCCATGGTCCATGGTCCTATCATCCCTTGTCTACTTGTACTTTTGTACATGTGTAAGAGCAGTCAGTGGTCCGTGACAGTCCGTGTCTATGTTAATCTTTGCCGCCACTGGCCATGCCTACATCCAGGGTATATGCCACCCACATCAAACCCACACTTGGCTGTCCCAGTGAGAAAATGGTTTCAGAATGGTTGAGATTTACAAGCTCCGGTCTCATCTAACATCTGGAAAAAGAATGCGCAACAACAACTTTTCTGCTCCATCCACAGAATATGGATTGGTATGGACTGGATTGGTGAGAATTGGAATGTGGTTCTGTTGGAATCAGCTTCTTGTTATTTCCATCCCATCCCGGCCCATCCCTGAAAAAAAATACATGCGAGGTTTGGAGGTTTGGCTGGGTTGGACCCCCCAGAGCATAGCCTTTTTGTCACGTCTCATCACATCGACAATCTTTCCAGAATGTTGCTCACCGCAACCCGCACCAAGTTAACCTCAGCATCCCTGGCTACAATCTCCAGCTTTGAAACAGTACTGGATCTCAAGTTGTAGTTGTCAGCTGCGCTTATCACGCAGTAAGGGTGCAGCCATGCGTTTGGCTTTTTGGTATTCCACCACCATTGAAACCTCACATCACCCTTCGCTATCAAAGCATGGCAAACATGACACTTCGATCTGCCACTGGCTGCCAGGCCATTTTCAGCGCCAAGGCCCAGTTCCCGGCTGAAGAAGGAACCTTGCGCCGACATTGTGGAAACAATGCTTTCGACTTGCGCTCTGGAACTGGAAGCTGAAGCTATATCATCCACAACTGCATTGGCAGCCAGGACTTCAGCAAGCATGGTCTCAGAAACTGGTTCAACTGGCTCCGTCTCATCTATATTCTGGGCATCGGCATTGGCATCTAAATCACTTGGCTCCGAATCCTCTGAATCTGAACTAGCTGAGTCATCAGCGTCAGAGCCAGAGCCACCAAGCTGAGCAGCACCGGTATGAGAAAGAGAACCTGGCTGGTCTGAAGTCGTAGCAACTTCGCCTGATTGAAGCCCGGCTGGAACGCTGGGCTGCTTTTGCGGTCTTTGACTTTTCTTTCTTTTTCTTTGCGGTCGCTGCAGCTTCATGCCAAACGGCAGATTTGAAGTTTTTGGCGGCTCACTCTTTTTGGTTTGAGCATTGCAGTTGATTTTGAATGAAATCTGAATGTCTTCAGTGCGAACCTGCAAACAATCAGCTTGGTCGACGAAAGGCTCGCACCGCCAAATCTCGAATGTCAGCTCAAACACCTTCGCCTGCGATGCAACTCTGCTTTTGGAAGCTTCTGTAAGCATCTGGCTGAAAATCTCACACGAAGTACGAACTTGAAGCCTGCTTGCATCATCCAATTGGAAGGATGCTCTAGTATCCTCTACACTGGCGATGATCAAGGTTTGCAGGCACGGCTTCTTCACAGTGACACCTAAAAATGCAGCCACTGTTGACGAGCACAAATCGCTGCTGATGTGCATCAAGGCTCCAGCCTTGATGCTGTGTGAATCCAAGTTCTTTGCAAAGGCTCGCACCAGTTTCATGGCATTGTGAAAAAACTCCACTGCTTCGGCACATGCCAGGCAGGCAGGTTTCATCATTGGCCTCCAGTTCCTGCGCTGCATGCAAATGTTTTGCAACATCCTCCGGGCACGACTGTTTGTGAAGGGTCTCGTGCAGGAAAGTGTGGACTGCTGAGTCTGATGAAGAGACATCAATGTCCTTGGCTTTGAGGGCTCCATCACCTTAGCAGAGATCCCGGATCCCGATTTTATGGAAGTAGTGCCGCAGTGCAGTATGGACGATCAAACAAAAAGCAAAACTTCAAAACAGTACAGGCAAAACGGCAAAACTAATTATAATACTGACAGTACTAGTCCTAGTACTTATACACAGGTGGCTTCACACTCCCCTTTATCAACATCATACACTCAGTCTAACAGTCCACAGTCTATCCGTCTATAGTCTAAAGTCTATAGTCCATAGATACTCGTCGATCCTGTGAAAGAAAAAACAGTTGCTGCGTCTCGTTGCTTGTTCTGCCTACAAGGAACCGTCTCCCATTTGCGAAGGGCTGGACCAAAGAGGGTGGGAATGGTACAGCTCTTTGTTGATGGCTAGGCGTTTGGCAGAAATCTTTGAAAGACCTTTTTTGCCCACTTCCTCCTCCAAAGAAAGAGTTACTTGTAGCTCGGGACGGTCAGGCTCCAGTTGCTTCTTTGGCTTGAGGGCAGCTTCAGAAACTCTGTGGCGTACTTGTTGTTCATGCACTGCCTGAACCTGGAAATCCTCTTTCTGCTCGCTTCCCAAACCGCGCCACTCCTTTGATAAGGAGCTTACCTTGCTTTGGTATTCGGCCATAGAAAACTGTTGTCCACCCAAGCGCTCCCGCTGAAAGACATTCCAGCCGGAAAGAGATCTGACATTCCTACTCTCTGCACGTTCAAGTCGCAGCTGCTTTTGCTGGATGGATTCCATTGGTCTGCGTTGAGGCTCCGCTGCCTGGAGCAAAACTTTCACACCCGGCCCGATCTTATTACACTTTAGACTGAGTCTGAGTCTGAGTCTATTTGTTGTTTGTCGTTTGTCGAACAAGTCATCCGTCATCGCATCTCACAAACAAATAACAAGACTCAGACGGACTCGTAAAGAAAAGGGAATGGGAACCGGAATCTGATCAAATCAAACAAGTGCGCCGCCTCCCCAGTGTTCTGATGAAGCTGCTGGGAATTCCGGTTGGTAGACTTGACACCCACTTGCCGCTGTATAGCTGCGGAAACCCTGGGCGCTGGCATTGTGAGAGCCTGTACTTCGTCTTGAGCAATGCAATGATTTCGAATGGCTGACTGCAGAACGCTAGTCTCTCGCGCTGCTGGAGCCTTCTTTACATACATTGATGCCCTTTTAGAGACGGCCCACTGCATGTTTCCATGCTTGATTTCAACCGTGTCTGCGTTGACAGGCGTGTAGCTTGCAATGTGATTCAAGACCCGGCACACTTCTTCTTGTACGGCGAGCTGAGTGTGAAGCGTTTGATGAGCCAGCGGCTCTGGGCCAAAAGGAGCCAACAATGCCTGTGAGAATTCCGTGTCCAAGCATGTGGGGCACAAGCGTTTGGTCTTCAGAAGCTCGTCCCATTCTTTGACAAACCCTGCAAGGTTTTTCCTCAACCTCAGGAAACTGAAGACCTTGAGAGGATATCTGTTGCACTCCTGCACTAATCTTCGCCACAAATCAGAGGAGCAAGCGCAAACCAGTTGAAAAAGCAACTTCAACCTTTCAGAAGAGGGCTGCAAGCCCATATGGACATTCTCAGACAACCCGTTCTCAAGAAGACGGAGAGTCCGGCTGATGCAATCATGCCCAAAATCACCACAAACAATGTACAAGAACGACTCTGCACATTCCTCTTTCAATGACTCATACTCGGGATGGGAGCTTCCAAGCCCTGTCAAACGGGTGAGCTGGCCAGTGCCCTTGAAGAGAGCATTAATTGCAGGCTCAAATGCATTGATCAAGCTCTCAATGACTATCGATCCCTGCAGAAAATTGGGTTTTGAGAGCTGCTCTGCCACAAGACGGCGCCTGACTGAGTTCTGAAGGCTGTAGCTCAAATCATTGTCCAGCAACGTATCTACCATGCGCTGGACATCTTCTGGAGTTGGATTGTCTGCAGTAGATCTCTCCTGGCACAAGATGTCTTGGACCAAGCTGGCTACCTCCGATCCAGCTCCTGTGCTGTTGGCCGCGTTTTGCTGCATCTGGGCCATAATTCGAGGGAGCAGTCTGAAGGCACAACAGCCAAACTTCATGTAGCCGGCAGCTGGGGAGAAGTGCTTGAATCTATATAAAAGAGGCACTGAAAACCCCCGCGCAAACAGTGGGATTGCCAAGTGTAAAAGTTTTTGGAAACTCTCCTCGTTGCTTTCGCAGCAGTTTCTACAATAATGCGTCACTGTGTCCAAGCGGGAGTCGCCATTGGCAAATTCAAGAAAATCAACCAGCTTCTGGCGCGCGGCCTTAGACGGACAATCAAAGGACCGCTGGATCCAGTCTGCTCTGCAGCGCCACTCGGGCATCTCAGTCGGAAAATCTGCCACGGGTATTCCTTGGCTTCGTCGGGGCAGCGCACGTGTTCTTTTGAAGTAGCAGTAGGGTAGTCGGTAGTGGCGTCGTGCTTGGTACCGTCGTCTACCTTCTATATAGTGTTGTTTTAGTCTTAGTCAGTCTTGTCTAGTCTAGTCTGGTCTACAGTCTACATGACTCATGAGTCATGAGTCTCACAAGAGTATTTTTAGTACGTCTCACCGTCTCATAGTCCACAATAATAGTAGTAGTAGTAGTAGTAGTAGTAGTAGTAGTAGTAGTAGTCAGTAGTCACATAGTCAGGTCATAGTACTAACGTAGTACACCGTTGTCTATACAGGTCCAGTCTATTTGCCTGCCTACCGCCTACCAACAAAAAACACACAAGCACCAATTCACGACTTGGGCGCGTTGGAAAGCTCCAGGTGCACTCAACACTTGGACAAGTGCCAAAGAGAACTTTTTCTTGAAAGAAAAACTCTCGAAGAGGTGTGATAATCTGACCAAACTTGGCCAAAATGAGTCGAAGCAAAGCACCCCCATCTTCCGCACCAGGCTGATTTGGTGGAGAAAGCATTTGACGCGCAGTCCAAGCCTGCGCTGCTCATCTGCTGCAAGTAGGAGGCGCCGCTCCACCTTGAACATGGCATCGTTGGTGGGTAGGGCGTCGCCAACCAGCGCATGTACCCTCCACCTAGCTGCTTGACAAATGGATGGAGGGCATTGCAAAGCCTTAAGGCCATATCCCACACCAGCACTTGAAAGCAACATGTAGGCACTATACCCAGCATAACGGTCTTCAGTCTTCGAGGAAGCCAAGCAATACATGGGTGTCGGGATC